AACCTTTCTGTGTCCCAGTTGCTCAAGTCTTACCCTAATCATTTCTCTTCCACCACAGAATGTGTACTAGAAGAGCACTGTGAGTGCTGCATCTCATTTCATATCTTTAAAGTATCGATAATCCAGTTCCATATTCATTGGTTTTGTGAGTGGCAGAAAGTAATTATAAAATTTCTTGTAATGTTTAAGCAATGATGAGACATAATACTCCTGTAGGTGCTTTCTCGTATAGATAGTGCAGCCATACTAACATTGCTGGAGTTACTCTGGGTTTTCTGAGTTAAAACAAAGATCTAGTTATTCATTCCATGTTTTAGTAACACTCCTCTCAAAATTTTGCTTCATGATACATAAGCACAATTCATAGAATCATAGCATCCTAGCATCCTAGCATCCTAGCATCATAGCATCATAGAATAGTTTGGGTTGGAAGGGACCTTTAAAGGTCATCTAGTCCAATCCCTCTGCAATGAGCAGGGACATCTTCAACTAAATCAGGCTGCTCAGAGCCCCGTCCAATCTGACCTTGAATGTTTTCAGGGATTGGCTTCTACCACCGCTCTGGGCAACCTGTTCCAGTGTTTCACCACCCTCAGAATAAAAAATTTCTTCCTTATATCTAATCTAAATCTACCCTCTTTTAGTTTAAAACCATTACCCCTTGTCCTACCCATGTCTTTCCTACACTGAGGACTCCAGAGCTGGACGCAGTACTCCAGGTGGGGTCTCATCAGACTGGAATAGATGGGGAGAATCACCTCCCTCGACCTGCTGGCCACATTTCTTTTGATGCAGCCCAGGATACGGTTGGCTTTCTGGGCTGTGAGTGCACATTGCCGGCTCATGTCCAGTTTTTCATACACCAGTACCCCCAAGTCCTTCTCCTCAGGGCTGCTCTCAATCCCTTCATCCCCCATCCTGTATCAATACTGGGGGTTTCCCTGGCCCATGTGCAGGACCTTGCACTTGGCCTTTTTGAACCTCATGTGGTTCACATGGGCCGAGTTCTCGAGCTTGTCCAGGTTCCTCTGGATGGGACCTTGTCCCTCAGGAGTGTCAACTGCACCACTCAGCTTGGTGTTGCCTACAAACTTGATGAGAGTGTGCTCAATCGCACTGTCTGTGTCATTGATGAAGATATTAAACAGTACTGGTCCAAATACAAACCCCTGAGGGACACCACTTGTCACCAATCTCCATCTGGATATTGAGCCGTTGACCACTACCCTCTGGATGTGACCATCCAACCAATTCCACATCCACCAAACAGTCCACCCATCAAATCCATATCTCTTCAGTTAGAGAGAAGGATGTTGTGGGGGAGCCCAGTTGTTCAGCTGAGCATGACAAATGAAGGACAGAAATTCGTGTTATGCTATATAAATGCATGGTTCTTTTACCTCCTTTGGTACTGCATCCAAAAGCACAAAATCATATTTGTATAGGAATAGCACAACGAACAACTGGATTTCCATGATAGCAAACCACCTGCAAGAAAAGGGAGGAAAACGTTAGCCATCCAGCCTGACCATCACACGTGTGTTATCATCAGATAAGAAACAGGGTGTCTTTGACACATTTCACATTCCATTCTTTAATTCTGCCTGGAAGTTTATCTTCAGTAGGAAAACATGCTGTGGCTTTGTTCAGATCCTTTACTCAGTGAAGAACACGAATGTAGTGGCTGCCTCTTCTTTCCGGTGAAACGTTAGACTGACAGCATCCCCCTGACACCCTATTTTAAAACAGACCCTTATCATTATGGTTTTTTCCACTGTATAAACATTTGTGTTCTTCTAACGCTTGCTGACTTGAAATAACTTCATAGGAGTGAGAAGACGGTCAAATATAGAAAAGGCTATATGACTAATCATGCTATATAAAGTTATATAATACAGCTGGGAGCCTGATGACATCAGAGTAGCTGTGACAGCGGGAGTTATTGTTTAATGCGTTAGCATTAGAATGCAGTACGAGATCCAAGGGCATGATGTTTTTCCTGTAACACTCTCAGAAAGCTCTTCCTTAGTCAGCCCAGAGAAGATTTCAGATAACTGCAGCTGAACTCCTCTAGGCTGTTATTTTTAATGTTGATGTATACAAGAGCTTTCCGCATTCAGGCACTAGCATGTACCTATGGCAGGCCATGGGATTACTCGCTTGCAGAATTTAGACATAAGTCTTAAATACCTAGTTAAAATAGTAATACTACCTTGCTATTCTACACAGTTTATTTTCCATTATCTGAGAGATGCTGGAAAACTTGGATAAAACAGCTATTGGGGAATTCACTGAGGAGAAGGCTACATGACTGCACATGGCGTCAGCCTGGATTTGGCCTGGCAGGTGTGAAGAGGAAGCTAATAAGCCCCACGAGACCCAAGCTAACTCCTGCAGAGCCATCCAGATCCGCACACTGATGCTCCAGAGTGGGAGGTTGCTTGTTTGTTTTGGCGTAGCTTCATACCCAAATTATCTCTGTGATTTCGTGTTGGAATTACCTTGAGCTAAGGAGCTTTTGGTAACCTTGAGCTCAGGGGAGTGCAGTGCAGAGATACTTCAGTGGAAATTAGCTCAGGTCAGGCAGGACTTACTAGCCCAAACTCCATGCCAGCAGCACCATACAAAGGTGGGCTCCTTACAGGCCCTGCACTGGTCGCACAGTGTGGCCCTGGCCCCCTAGTGCTTGAGGTCCTGCCTCTGAGCCATCTTCTCTGGTTTGGCATGGATGTAACATGATGCAACCAAATGCCTCTAGGTTGCCCTGAGAGTAGAAATGCTGCATTGGCAGAGGGCTGTCCTTCAAACACAAGCACAGCCGGCCGCGGGCTGACTGGCTCTGACACCTCTGTACCCATGGCAGGTTCACTGCAGTCTGTCCAAGGGGCAATGGATATGACCCAGAAGTAGCTGCAGCACTTCTCACCGTTAGATCTCAAAGTGCTCTTCCCAACAGGCTGCTGTCGTTATTCTGTTCTGCAAACAGAGATGCTGAGACACAAGGATGATAAGCAACACATGTGTGCGAGGGTGGCCAGAGGGACAACTCAGAAGTGAAAGGCAGGACTGCAAAGTCCCAGTGCATCCCTGTCTCCCACAGCACGTTGTACTGAGCAGAAACCATGAGCTTTCTTGCAGCTAAATGCCCCTTAGTTCCTACCTGTCTTTCGTATCCATGATTGAGTCCTAGAGCAGTTTTCCTGTAAAAACTGAGTCACTGATGCCTTCCTATTTTATTTAGTGACAAGGGGGTTTGACAAAGTTGTGCTTTCTGAAATCCTGCCCCCAATGCACTGCTACATATTGATGGTGTGCTGGAACCCAGGAGCCCAGCTGTGGATTGAGGTCCTGCAGTAAATGGACTCTGAGAATGAAATCATGGCTGTTGTGCTGCAGGGTTTACAATGTCAGCATAAAACAAGAGAACAGACAGACCTTGCAAGATAAGCACAGATGCACAGGCAATAGTCACCTGGTTAGACAAAAGTAGCTTCACTGACATCAAATTTTTCTTCTAGGTAAAAAAGAAGGTGGCTCAGAAATGGCTTTGTGAGAGCTCTTCCCATGTCAGTTTGCAAGAATATTTGACAAGTAAGTTATTTTCTAGCTTTCGGTTTGCTTAAATTAGATTTTAATTTCATGATGAACTTTTGCAATGGAGAAATGAAATGTTTCATACATTTCATTTATAAATGCCAGTACTGAATTGAATGAAAATGCATCTTAAACTTGAAATATCATTGTTTCATTCAGTCATACCACGGAAATACGCAACTTGAGATCTAGATACATCCCTTGATTTCATTTCCTCCCTTGATTTCATTTCCTCCCTTCCAAGACCACCACATTATTATTTCAGATTATTGCTGAAAAACATGAAGGGATGTGTGTTACCGTGTGGACTGTCAAAGGGTTTGAAAGGACTTTTCGTCTCTCAGCAAGAAAAAGATTTTCCATCTGCTATCTATGCAGAAATGTTGTCATTTTCTTTCTAACCACAAACTTATTTTAAAGATATTTTTGGAGTCGAACGAATGGCCTGAACAAAGAAATAGGTCAGTATATGTAAACGAGCAGCTTTCAGAAACACAGTTTTGCGGCTTGTCCTGTACCTGCGGATGCCTCTTGCAAATTCTGCTGTCAGCCTTGCTGGGAATGCGGCTGTGCTCATATTTAGCTCAGGAATACAGTACAAGTCCCAGCCATACAGCAGTGAGTGAGCACTTTCCGTGGCAAGCCTAAACAGTGAATGCAGTCTCATTCATTTTGTTTATGCCTTTAATGCCTTCAATGCCTTCACAAAGTTTGTCTGACAGTCATGTCCAGCCTGCTATAGGGTGCAGATTCAAGAATCCATACCCTCTGCAACACCCTCTAGATTCCTTGGTCCACATGGGACTCTTGAGTTAAACTGACTAGTTTTAAGGATTCTTGGTTACTTGCTTTTTAGAGGAGACCAGGTTTTGAAGGCAGAGAACTGAGCATAGAGATGTTTGAACACAGAAACGAGGAGCAGCTGGCTCCCTGGGACTTGTTCCAGGAAGAGGGACAGCAGAGAAAACAGCAGAAGGAATGCAGGAAGCACTGAGGCTGGCATTGCTGGAGGAGTGGAGAGAGACAGGATCTGCAATTTAAGCCATCATACAATTACGTGGGCCTTAATGAAAAGACAAGATTTAAACAGAAAGGAGCCAGTAAAGACATCTGAAGATTAGCAAACATGTCAATGGCATCACAGAGGATGGAAAGAGAGTCTCAGACCAGGGAAATGTTCTTTCGGTTAGTTTAGAACTGGTTTATGGCAACCTGAAAGCCTGTGTCTGTAAACTGGCATGTTTGTAAGTGGAACAACCCTCCTTGGATGAAAAGGTGCCTCAGCAGCAGCAGATCTAGGCTGACTTTCCTCCCCGGCGGTATCCCTTGAAACACTAGTCTGAGATTCTGCTTTTATATCATGACTTAACCTGTCTTTTCCAGGAATTAAACCATTTTCAAATCAGTTTAAACCAGGTCCAAATAATACTGAACATTAGGGGACTGACAAAGAGCAAAGCAATGAAAACACTTTATCTCCAAGTGTAAGAGGAGCCCAGTTCAAGAGAGTTGTTCTCTGCAGGGTTTAGGAATAAATAAACCCCAGCTGTTTCACTGACCTTCCTGGACACTGATGCTTCCCTCCTCCGAATGCCACAAAGCTGTCCAAGAAAGCATTCTTCTCTAAATTTGCCTCTTTCCAACGATCCTGTGGGAAGAAACTTTTTTTTTTTTCCAAATCAGCCTTATGTAAACAAAGCTTAACTTTATTTCTCCAGGCTAAAAATTACCTCGGACAGCTAATCCTCAATACAAAGTTGCGCTAATGCCATTTTTCTGCCTTCGACCTGTTAGTGCTAAGGTTGGACTCAGGGAAAGAAATGAGGGTCTCATTTGAAACATACTTAATGCTGGAGAGATTTTCAAAGTCACCCCTAAAGCATTCTTCCCATACCTCCCCATTTTTCTAAATCCTGCATCTTGAGCTATTGAAATGCCTATAAAAATGTGACATTCTCCTTTTAAATATATGCACATTCAAAGCAAATGTACAACCAGTGCCTTCCCTCAGCCGCAAAATGGCACCACGGCACAAAACCAGCTCGTGCACGTCTTGCACACAAACCGTTTCTAAGACGCTGTGCACAGATGAGTGCAAGGCGTGTGAGCTGTCCCACAAGAGAAAGGCAAGGATTGCACAGCCCCATTCTCAGGAGCAAGCCAGTGTGTGAGAAAATGAACTCTTCTCAACAAAAACAGCCTGTCTGTACCCAGAGGGCTCCTTACTCCATCCTGAGTTGCTTTAAGAGAAAAGGAACAACACAAGGAGCAAAGCAATATAGGCTAAAGTTTGGGTGGGTGACACTGACAGACATAAATCTGTTGAATGCTGGGTGACAAACTATACCAGCCTCCAAAAACTCAGTGCAACTCTACCAAGGCCTTCAAGTAACACCCTGTCAAGTTTATGGTGGCTAACTCCTCTGCCAAACCTGTCTTAGAGAAGGCATAATCTTGTGTGTGTTTGTTTGTTTTGGATTTTTTTTCAGCTTGGGCTGTTCAGAGCTTTCTGAAGAGGAAACCTGTTATCATCAAAATCCAAGAAAAGCGAGAAAAAAGATCTCAGCAGTGATGAAGCGAGGCACTACCGTTTGGAATGGCAATGGCAACGTCCAAGGGGTACTCACCAATACCTCATGGAAAAGGTAAGTTTCAAAAACAAAAAAATGTTATCTTGCTTTTTAGGAATAAATTTACTACAGAAATAAGCTGCTGCATCAAGGTTTTTGCTTAGGGTTTCAAACAGGCAGGAATTGTTACAAAGCATTTCAAATTGGTGAAGAGTTTGCCAGAAGGAAAGTTTTGTTTAAGTTACTCCTTGGTGTATTTCTATAAAAAAGACAAACCATTCTGTAGCGGATGGTGCTAAAAAGAGCAGTTACACGCCTGCCCACACGGCCACCTGGAGTGGAACAGTAATCAGGAAACTCTAGATGAGCTACTGAACGATCAGAGCTAATACCTCCCAGAAATCATCTGACTGGAAAGAGCGATGAGCCTGGGTAAATACATGGAGATGAGCTATACAGACAGATGCCAGGGAGAGGAGTTGGGTTCAACAGTGAAATCAGTGGGGTCTTTGCATGGTGGGCTTTCAATCAAGATCAAAGTGATATAAAGTAGTACCATATTATTTGGAATATATAACTGAACTTTAGAATCTTGCTTATTCCTACAGGCTCCTCCTTTTTGTGCACATCATCTCTGTGTACAACGCCATCGTCCAGACGATGGGGAATACCCAACTTTAAGCCAATTTGTCTATGTGCTTTTGTTGTGAAATAAGTGAAGAGGAGAAAAGACAGCAAAATACGCACCCTAAGAGTGACAACTTACCGGTTTGAACATTTCCGGGTCAGGAAAATATTTTGGATTCCTGTGCAACCAATATGGCGACAACATCAGCATGTCACCTGCAGGGACAGTGAAATTCTGAAAAGGAGAAAAAACTCTAAGAAAAGAGAAAATCACGAGTTCAACTCACAAAACAGTCCCTCCTTAGTACTTCTCTTCCCTCAGCAGAAGGTCCTGACAGAGGACGAGTGAAGATGGTAAAGCCACCGTGGGTATATGACGTGTTTGAAGCTTCTTCTTGCTATTCCCCTATTTTCCATAAGAAAGACCTGGACAGTGGAGAATGTGGAAAGACTAGTTTTGTTCTCATTTGGTTTTTCAGGTATAGAAATAATAGAAACGTTATTTCTACTTTCCCACTTTTTGATGTACCATGTGAACTGGTATTTTTTTCTAAATCTTTTGTTAAGCACTTCCTTCAAAATACAAAGAAATTAATAGAAAGACTTATATGATAATAGACCTTTGTGGGATTGTGCTGGGTTTATGTGGTGGGGTTTTGGTAGCAGGGGAGGGGCTACAGGGATAGCCCCTGTAAGGAGCTGCTAGAAGCGTCTCCAGCTCCATGTCAGACTAGTCTCTGGCCAGGCCGGGCTCACGTCTGACCAGGGCTGAGCCAATCAGCACCTCTCCAAATGTCATATTTAAGAAGGGACAAAGAAACCACGCAGGACCTGCAGTGAAAATAAGGAAGAGGTGGGGGGCTGGCCCCTCCAACCTCCCGGGCAAGCAGCTTCCCATTCTGGGCCACTGCCGCTGAACTAGAGATGGACATGGTGGTGCAGCTGGGAGAGCTCCTAAGCACCCTGCTCCTGAGGCGCCCACTGAGTGGAGTTCATCCTGCCAGGACTGCTGAGGTTTGTTGGGCCAGTTGGGCCTGGCGTGGCTGCAGCAGAGAGAGAACTGATATCTGAGAGAAACGGCTATGCAGACACCAAGGTCAGTGAAGATGGAGCAGGAGGAGGTGTGCCGGAGCTGAGATTCCCCTGCAGCCCGTGATGAGACAGCAGGCGGCCCCCCTGCAGCCCGTGGAGATTAACGGTGGAGCAGAGATCTACCTGCAGCCGTGGAGGACCCCATGCTGGAGTGGGTGGTTGTGCCCAAAAGAGTTTGTAGAGGACTATCTCCTGTGGGAAAGGACCCCATGCTGCTGCAGATTAACAGTGGGGCAGAGATGCATCTGGAGTCCATGGAGGACCCCACGCTGGAGCGGGTGGTTGCACCCTAAGAAGCCGTGACTCTGTGGGAAAAGCCTATGCTGGAGCAGTCTGATGGGTAAGGACTGGATTCTACAGGAAGGACTCACGTTGGAGAAGTTCCTGGAGCACTGTCTCCCATGGGAAGGGATCCCACATGGGAGCAGAGGAAGAGTGTGAGGAGTCTTCCTCCTGAGGAGGAAGCAGCAGCAAAAACAACATGTGACAAACTGACTGCAATCCCCATTCCCCGTCCCCCTGCGCTGCTGGAGGAGAAGGTAGAGCTGGGAAGAAGGGAGAGGTGGGGGGAAGGTGTTTTTAAGATCCGGCTTTGTTTCTCATTGTCCTCTCTGAATGTGACTGGTAACAAATTAGATTGATTTGTCTCCAAGTCGAGTCTGTTTTGCCCGTGTCTATGGTTGGTGGGTGCTCCCTTCCTGTTCTTATATTGACCCTCAGCCCTTTTGTTACGCTTTTTCTCCTCTTCATCCCACTGCTGAGGGCAGGTACCGGGTCCTGGTGCTTAGTTGCCACCTGGGGCTAAACCACGACAGACACTTTAGTAATTCCTTAAATGGGCGTAAGTGCCAATTCCTTAAGAGAGAGTGTTTTTCTCCCAAACATTTATTTGTTAGACTCCTAAATGCTGGCACATCCCCTCCAAATGGCACTGAAGAGAACAAACAGAAAAGAAGTTTTATCAGTCACTAAATCATGCTGCCTTCTACTGTATTTGTTGCATCTAATCACTATTTCATATACCCTCAGCACGGTATCTCCAGCTCAATTCAATTGAATGTAAATTCAGTTCAAAACTGAAGGTAAGTCTATGAGCAAAAGAAGCAAAACCACTTTTAAATTAATGACAATTAAAATAATGATGATGAATAAACCTGTTAAAGAGAAGATACATGTAAGATTGTGGAATATCTCTACTATTTTAATTTTATGTAGATCTATTGGGAGGCTGCTTTCCAAACAAATCATAGAGCATCTTTATAGGGGAAAAAAAAAAAAAAGAAACTCACCAGAATTCTGATTGGGTTTACTACTTTTTTGGTGATTGCACCTGGAGACCTCAGCCGTATGGCTTCCAAAGTGCACCACTTAATGAAAGGGAGCTTCTTAAGGTCCTCTTCAGAGACTTCTATTTTATCTTTACCTGTTGTAGCATGAGAAAGAAGGTTCTGTGTAAAAATTAGATTTCATACTTGTTTTGATACATGTTGACATGTCTTTAGACCTTCTGATAGAATACCTCAAGACTTTAAGACCTTGTTTACACCCAGAAACTTTCTCTATATTACAAAGTAAATAAATGGACCAAAATCAGTACAATTTAAGAAAAGCTGTTCTCAATCATAGAATCATAGAATCATAGAATGGTTAGGGCTGGAAGGGACCTTCAAAGGTCATCTAGTCCAACCCCCCTGCAAGGAACAGGGATATCTCCAACTAGATCAGGTTGCTCAGGGCCTCGTCCAACCTGGCCTTGAACGTCTCCAGGGATGGAGCATCCACCACCTCTCTGGGCAACCTGTTCCAGTGTTCTACAACTCTCATGGTAAAAAATTTTTTCCTAATATCCAATCTGAATCTACCTCCCTCTATTTTAAAACCATTACCCCTTGTCCTATCACAACAGGCCCTCCTGAACAGCCTCTCCCCATCTTTCCTGTAGGCCCCCTTGAGGTACTGGAAGACCGCTATAAGGTCACCCCGGAGCCTCCTCTTCTCCAGGCTGAACAGCCCCAACTCTTTCAGCCTGTCCTCATAGGAAAGGTGCTCCAGCCCTCTTATCATCTTCGTGGCCCTCCACGAAGAGGATAATTTAATAAGGTACCTAAGGTAGGTGTAGATATGACTTTGACCAGAAGAGGCCAAACAGAGGTCATTTTGGAAGTAAAGAGTCCCTGGACTTTGCCAGTACTTTTGTAGGACATTGCATGGAAATCTCAGGGTCTGTAGGCACCAAGACAAAGGGTCATGGCTGAGCTCTCGGGCTATGTTACCACCAGCAAATAAAACAGGACCAGGAGAAAGGCTTAAGCACTGGTTCATGATTATCCTTATTGGTTAATTATTGGTGTGTTCCTTGATGTGGTTTTGACCCATGTCAACTAAGAGTCTTCCATGAAAATCTAAATGTGGTTCACGGGACTGCATATGTGCATGACTGTTCCTGGTAGGTGACTGTTTTTTGAG